CTACTTTTTACACGTTAGTTAATAACCATTGAGTTTGCAGAAGGGTAATGACAAGGTCGTCCCTGGACTTTATGCTGCTGGGGAGGCTGCCTGTGTGTCCGTCCACGGCGCCAACCGTCTCGGTGCCAATTCTCTACTCGACATCGTCGTTTTCGGTCGCGCTTGTGCTCACCACATTCGCGACACTCTGGAGCCGGGAACACCTCACAGGGAACTCCCCTCAGACGCAGGATCAAAATCCATTGCGAACCTCGATAAACTTCGCAATGCCAATGGTACAAAGACTACTGCTGAGATCCGTTTGAACATGCAAAAGGCAATGCAAAAAGATGCGGCAGTATTTCGAACAAAAGAATCATTGGAAAATGGTAATATGATATCCCAAATAATTTTGATGAATTTCCCTTATCTAAACACGGTTCACTATTTCATTTTAAGGTGTTGTAAACATCGATTCAATCTGGCAAACCTTCAAGGATGTTAAAGTTTCTGACCGCTCTATGATTTGGAATTCTGATTTAATCGAGACCCTGGAGCTTCAAAATCTGTTGACCAATGCCGCTCAAACAATGCATTCCGCGTCAGCTCGTGAGGAGTCTCGTGGCGCTCACGCAAGAGAAGATTTCAAGGTTGAGTTAATTAATATTATCGCAATAATTATTATTGCCTTGTCTTGTGCAACGAAATTCAAAATTATTATTTTCCTTCTTTGCACTATAGGAACGTCTGGACGACGAATGGATGAAACATACGTTATCCTGGCAGGATCAAGAAACAGGTCAAGTCAAGTTAAGTTATAGGGCTGTCGCTCACAAGACTCTGGACGAAAAAGAGTGCCCCAGCGTGTGTATTTTCTCCTCATCTTTGTTTCTCGTCCTTTTCACACGAAATTATGATTCTAGTGACATTTTCAACCGCCTATTTTATAGGTTCCTCCTAAGGCTAGAGTTTACTAGTGGAACGGTCTTTTATTAATGTTGTCGTCGACACTCAAACTTATTTATTTAAAGAAAACGCATCCAGAGCTTTTTATTTTCGATATTCTGACAGTTTCTTGTTGTCAAGTCATGCAAAGGGTGTATGCCTGTCCACCAGAGCGTACGATAAGAAAAAAAAAAACAATTATAAAGACAACCAATTTGTCTTTCTTTCTTTTTTTTTTTTTTTTCTTTTTTTTTTTTCAATAATTTTTTATCCTTATCGTTCAAAACTTATAAGCTCCACTTCGACAACCAAAAAAAAAAAAAAAACAATCGCAAAATCAGAAACAGTAAAGATTATACCTGAAAACAGATCATATTAGCAATCGTTCGATTTGGGACTTGATCGCCTGAATTTGGGGTTTAAGTTCGGATGCTTCGTTGCTGATGATGGAAGCAGCAATTACTGCACGAGAAACACCGCACGCGCGACCCAACGCAGTTTTTGAAGGAATAAAGACATAGGGAACATTCTATCGAGATACAAGGTTTATTAATATGGCAACTCCTTTAATCGAATGCGAAAAAAGTGTACCTTATCTTCACATAATAGTGGCAAGTGTAATACTATCTCGATTGGTTCAGTGTCGGCCGTCATCACGATAAATTCCGACATCCCACGATTAAGTGTTTTAGTAGCTAACGTGAATGGCAAACGTTGATTAATTAATAACTCGGTGCCCCTAAAATACTAGGCGTTCCACGCCGAATTCCACCTTCCTAAATCGTAAACACGGACCTTCGTTAGCACCCTTCTTCAATTGTTTATAATGTAAAGCTTGTTGAACGAGGTCAAGTATTTGGTTTGTCAATTCAGCGTCAGCCAAGGGGAAAGCTTTGGGGTTAATTGTTTCGGTAGCCTGTGATAAATGTGAGATCAAATGTTAAATAGGCGCAAGGCGAAATAAAAAAAAAAAAAAAACGACATACCATTTTTTTAAGAAAATTAAAGAAAAAAAAGTGATGTTTGAAACAGATACCTACCAAAAAAAATTTTTTTATCTAAGATTTGTGCCCAGTGCTACAAGGGAAAACACGTGATTATAAAAAAAAATATAAGTACATGCGGATGTGAAAAAAACTTTGCAATTACAAGATGCGGTTAGAAAAATGTTACTTTTGTTCATCCACAGTATACCCCGGCCATGGAACAATGTTTGTAAGGAACGATAGCAAGGTGCGAGAAGAAAGCGCAGTTCTCGAAATTTATATATATACTTATTACTATTTTTTTTTTTATGTAGGTATTCCGTTTTTGTAGGAGCAAATGTCGTGCTGCCTTTAACCACAAACGAAATCCCCGTAAGGTGCGCTGGACAAAAGCCTTCAGAAAGTCAGCTGGAAAAGAAATGGTTATTGTATGTTGCGATATTTGATTTTGATTCAATTCGTTTTTTTTTTTTTTTTCCTGTTAATTCCTTAATTTTTTCAATATGATACCACAGGACTCTACATTCGAGTTCGAGAAACGTCGTAATGTTCCTGTACGCTATGATCGTGATAACATGGTCACAACAATTAAAGCTATGAAACGAATTTCGGAAGTTAGAACTAGACGCGAACGTGTCTTCTACAAGAACAGGTTTGAAAGTTCTCTATTTTATGTGAATATTTTCTTTTTCACCAATTTTTAACCATGTTTTGTTTCTCAATAGAATGTCCGGAAACAAGGAACGTGAGAAAGC